GGGGCTAAAAGGGGTCAAATGTCAAATTGGCTTAAATCAAAAAATCTTATCCAGACCAAGATATGCTTGAATCAAGTAATCTTCATTGATGGAAGGGTCTTAAAGCGCTTTATCCCCTGGGGATGGGGTAAAGTTTACTATAGTTATATAGAAAAAATGATACTTTTGGGTATATTTGGTTCATTTCCAATTGGAAATCATTGATACTTGATAGACATTATAAATTCGAAATGACAGTTTGATACTATGACAGTTTAGGCTTGGGCCATCTTGGAAATCTTCTCCAGACTTAGATATGATCTTCATAGATGGAGGGGTCTTTAGGTGCTTTATCAAAATAATGAATTTCATGACCCCCAGGCTCTACTTTTGCCCCTTTGCAGGCGTTAAGTTTACTACAGCCGTATAAGAAATTGATACTTTGGGGTATGTTTTGTTCACTTTCAATTGGAAATATTATATTATTTACATTATAATCATGAGATAACAGTTTGATACTTTGAAGATTTTGGCCCTGGCCCATCATCAGGGGCTGAGGGGTAGGCCCCAAAGGAATCGAATTGGCTTGACAGCTGGGATCGACCCCACGACCCCAGGTTCCGGAGGCCAGCGCTCTACCACTGAGCTAAAGGGACATGTCCTGTCAGCTGACTGATAGAACCACTATTTGTACATAGTACATATACGACCCAGATCTGTTACACTCCATTTACATTACATGAAGTTCAAGTTACCTTTTTTACAAAATAGTTTCTTTTTCATTTGGCAACATCGATAACATCAGTTTTTACATAACTCAGGTGACCGTTAAGGCCCATGGACCTCTTGTTAAATTGTGATATCATAATTCATCTTTTACTTTTACATAAGCAGCGGACTGCTTTCGTAGGCGATATGAATGCCAACTACACAAAGACAACTCTCAATCGGTTTTTGATCACAAGGTTATGAAATGCGATATCTATGTAACAAATTGGTAAGGTAAAGAAGAAAATGGTGCGCCAACTAAGAAAATATAGATATCTTATCTTGAAAATGAAGTAAATCTAAAGTGGAAATATGACGAACTTGTTATAGGATTTTTCAAAAAAATATTTTATTGTTGAAAATTCCGTTTCCATGGTCATAGAAATAATACGAGGAACATCCAATGAAACAGCATTATGTATTCGAATCTGATTACGTGGTAAACCAATAAGAAATGCTTGACATATCTCTCAAAATATAACGCGTAGTGAAATAGTTAAATAAATATGGCCACCTACTCTTAGATATAAATTCATAATGCGTTTTTTCCATTCATAAGATAGCTATGCATAACAAGATATTTTTTCTACGTTTTTTTACTGCAGGCCCATTTAATTCATCTTTTAATTCATCATTTAATACCCTATACATAGACTATGATAAATACATATTAGCGAGCTGGAAACGAATGTCGAATTCGTCGTGATCAAGAGTAGCATTTTTTAAGTGGAGAATATTTGTAGGATATGTTCAAATCTCATAGTGGTTTTTTTTTTGTTAATTGATTGACCCCCTTTTCCCATAAAAAATAAATAATATTGGATATATCACGTGTATGTATGGTAGTAGCCTTGCTCAAGTCTGAAGTTTTTTTAAATTGCAATGGAGGAGGGACAATTGTTTGTGTATATATTTACATTCCCATTGATACATTGATAAAAAGACAAGAAAAAACATGATACATTATGTTCATTATGTAATATACAATGCAATCAACAAAACGGAAGACGGGAGTTTAAACACTTTTAACTAAAATACATATACTTAATGACAAAATATATCTAACAATTATAACTAACATGTACGTAATGATGAAATATATCTAATAAATATATATACGTAATGGTTTACCTAATTTTTAACGGGACGTAATGATAAAATATATCAAACAATTATAACTTATATATACGTTATAATTATAACTGATATATCTAATGGTAATAGTCATTACTTAATGGTAATGTATATATAACCAATGCGTAATCAATTATAACAATCTAAACAATAAAGGTTATGCGTAATCAAACTTAAACCTATTCAAATTTCAAATAACTCTTTAAGCAATCAAAGTAATACAATTTAGTAATATTCTATCGAAATATGCTCCGTATATGACAAAATTATTCTGTTCAAGTTGCCGACTGTCTGTTTAGTTGAGATCATACACATTTGCATCTTCACAATTGGAAGATCGACAAAGCTCTATTTTAACAAGATGTGATGACAAAAAATTCAACGTCTTTCATCAACTTAAAGTAAAAACAACTTCGGTAGAGCTATTTACACGGCGTTTGTTAGAAGCCATACAGTTTCCAACGCACGAGGTAATAAGATAAACAAAAGACAGTGATTGTAATGTGGCATTTAATGTCAATCTTACTCCGTGTGCTTATATGTATTTGTCCTCAGTAGGCTTATAGTCTTAAAACGTTAATTAAGTATAGGACCTTAGTTTAAATCAATTTTATTGCAACAAAAGACAAATGGGTGGGACAAAAGTTATTGCAACTTACTTACGTCCATTCCGTAACAGAAAATATATATACAAAATTAATGTGTCACCTAATACAAATTTATATATGTATATATATATAAGATGTTAAAGATGGGTTACAACAAAAGAGGTAATGATGGGATTTGGGACACCAACGTATAGTTTTTAAATATGTATTCAGAGAGTTTACTTGAGATCGCGTGTGTGATTTTCCCAATCGAGTCGGCGTAAGTAGTATACCTAATCTATACACACATATATCCTTCTGCTTTTCTAAAGTTCAATCACGTTCCGTGCCGCATTTGCCTTTCTCCTGTGTCACTCCAAGTCCTTCTGTGAGTTCCTGCCTTACATACTAAGCCGACTAGATTAGGAAAACCGGACACGCACTCTTTGTCATATGGAAACGGTTATGATATTGATGGACGCTAAGATTGAAGTTAGTACACAGAGATCGTAGGTGTTGGAAAAAGGGAGAGGGGCTGGAATAAAAGAGGAGGTGGAGGGGAGAGACAGATAGGAATAGTCGAAGTAAGGTATCCTGGTTATTCAATATGACTGTTGGGTATTACATGTTAAACCGTTTGGAGCTAAAATTGAACAGTTGTACAGATCTACAAATTTGAATGTTTAGATTGTAGTCAAGGTTTGCATCTCCGAAGAGAAGGTGTTCAACAGTGATGTCGTTATACCAATCGAGGGATTGAAGCATTATATTACGGGATTGATCTTTTTTTTTTACAGTTTAGTAAGAAATGGGAACAGTCTTCAGAGTCATTTCCGCAGTCGCAAGTAGAGTTGTCTCGAAGGTGAGCTTTAAAAAGGTCGTAATTTAAAGAGCTACTGCGGTTTCGTAATTGGCAATGTATACTATTTACTTTTCTGGACCCATATTCGAGAAAACATTTAATATAAGAAGGGGTAGTGACTTGAGGTTGAATAAGAGTTTTAAATTGTTTAATGGATGTTGATGACTTTGTTTCTATTGGTAGATTGTTCCAGTAGTCTGAAGTACTTGGTATGAAGGATGATTTTGTGATTTGCAGTCTATAGTATGGGTTCTGAAAGTTATTCCTGTTTCTTAGATTATAGTTAGAGAAGTTTGACACAATAGGTGGTAGAAGAGATTTTAGAAATGAGGGAGCATTATCATGATAAATATTATAAAACATAGATGATATAGATGTCATAGATGTGGTATTATTTACCAAGATATATTAACTCATATCATATTAAAGTGTAGCTATATACTGAACACCTAAAGGACAAGTTGTGGTGCTCTATCGCAAACATTAGTGATACTGGTATTCTGCTGATCATGAGTGCGTACATACACTCTCTGACAGATCACGAATTAATTCATATTTTAATTGGGGGACAAATGACTTACGAATTAAATGTATTAGACATGAATGAATTTAGATTGAAATCAGTAGCAGCTGTCGAAAAGATGCACAAGTTATACTACCGGTAGTGTGTAGATATAATCTCACATCCTGATAAAGATTAATATAAATAAAATAAATATAAAAAATAATATGAATGTTTAATATGATATGTATGTATTACCTCATCATATATACACTTATTAATGATATTTATTGAATGTATGACTTCAATGTAATTAAGTCTGTATATGTCATGTATGTTATTTGGTGCTTATGTGTATTCAATATGATTTTTTTT